ACCAGCCCGTAACAGTAGTATTCTTATCTGTGGGGTTGAACGGGGGCGGCATTGTCGGTTTGATCGTCGCTGTCGTTACGATTGGCATAAACGCCGGTGCGGCTACAGTAGCGGCTGCTTCTGACCGAGCGGCTGCTGCTGTCGCTGCTGCTTCGGCTGCTGCTCGTGCTGCCACGTCAGCTGCGGCGGCGGCTTCACTATCTTTGCACTCCTGTGACACCTCACGTGCGATTTCGTCCAAGACGGTTTCGACACGTCCGGTGCTGGCGACCTCCTCTTGGGCGGCAGATTTCTGACGCGAATCCTCTCGCGCCTGGCGTAACTCAGCAACTTCCGCACGAAGTCGCTCATTGTCCTCCAGCACTGTAGCCATGCGTGTGTTCATGGCGTTGAACTGCTCCCGAAGCTCGTTGAACTGAGCTTGGTCCATTTGGCGAATGCTCCGCCGGGGCAGGGGGAAATCCGTAATGTGCCTGTACTCAGGTAAGCGCAAACGCTATCGTAGTTGGGCGAATTAATCAGTCTAATTCGCAAGCAACCGCTTTGCAGCTTACGTGAGGGACTCACCCCCCCCAAAAAAAATCAACTCACGAAAACGGGTGAGCGAGGAAAGTGGCTCTGAATACCAGGTGTTATGAATGAACAAGCAGAGTAGCGCGGAAATGAATAACAAAGTGTTCACTCACTGAATGACGATACAAGGAATGGCAAGCCAAGATATAGGAACACCAGAGGTAGTCTAACCATGCGATGGGAAGGTTCGGGAAAGAGATCGAAGGGTCGCGAAGTGACGAAGCGAGGCCCGGAGAACTCCCGAAGGTCGAACTAGAAGGTATGGAGAAACCGAGGCGGTTCTGTCAAAAAGGTCTGGAACAGTCATGAGGCTTCGGGTGTGTTCGAGCGTACGCGCTAGCAATACCGCTTGGTAAGGAATGGAAAATTCCTTACACTTTGAGTCTTGGTCTTACTTGGGTTACGCGCTTTAAATGTTTGTGAAATTATACGCTAGGTAACTCTTACTTTTCGTTTCCCCGATTCAGTCACTCTTTTCTCATCTCTGTCAATGTTTTATCGAGTCGAAATCAGCAGCGTCAAACTTTTTGTTCAGTTTGATGCCGCATGGCAAAATCTTTCGACACGTGTCCCAGAAATGCGATGTCTCAAAACATCGAGAGATAAATACTTAATGTCCAAATTTTGAAGAGAAAACTTCATAGCTAGTAGAGGATTCTGTCCCGGATTACATTCGCGCACAGCTCCACGGCGCGTTATTGAGATACAGACATGTTGATTAAGGCAGCCTGAAATAAAATATAACCCGCAGTAGCCAGTATATAATCGGACATGTCAATTAGGGCAGCCTGAAACAAAATATAGCCCGCAGTGGCCCGATATTCGACTTGGGGTGGCATCAACCTTATAGACGCACAAAGCCGCGAGTTTATGATGGATGCCACCTCGAGTCGCATGCGGGCTCCGATGGGTTTGAGTTTTGTGGGCATCCAGAAAAAACAAAACGTCAGAAATAGTGACATAAGTCTAGTTTACACCTTGAAGAATGGCTTAATAGATTTCTGCAACAAAAAAAATGTTTTTCCATTCGGGGAGTTTCGTAACAGCCAGTAAATGCCACGGCGTAACCGATTGAGCAGTGCGAGAGGCTGGGCAGGTGCGGGAAGGGCTGGTGCATACCCACGGCGTGCCCAGCCCCTGCCCAGCCTCTCGCACGCCTCTCGCACACCTTGCCGGCCCCTCGTGTGCCTCGGCCCCTCGCCGTGCTGCATCTCGACAATCTTCGCCGCGTGAGCGGAGGTTTTGGCCTCCCTGCTAGTAATCGACCGAACTATGCCGCGGCGAATTCTCTCTGTCACTAAGCGAGGGCGACCGGCTGAGGGCATCGTAGGACGCACGTCATCGCGGTTGGACTCTGCAATCGCCTTAAGGCCATAACCATGGACCGTGCTCTTCCCCACGCCTAGCTGTTTAGCGATTCGACGAGTGCTATACCCCCTCCGCAACAGGGTAATGATCCGTGCGCGGCGTGCCTCATCTAACGGTTTCATGACGGCCTAATCGTAGCAGCGGTCCTAGCCTATCTCTTGACTACTCGATATTCGCGAGGGCAAGTAAGTAGAAAAAGGGAGGTTAGGATATAGATCTAGTACGCTGCTTGGTATGAACTGTCCGGATGCACCCACGCGAACCAAATCTCGTCCTCGGTAAAAAATCGATCCCTATAAAACTGAAACCAGTATCCGTCACATATACTACAGTACTACTTTACAGCTTACGCGGAAATATGAGTCGGAACTATACAAAAAGGCACCAAACCGGTTTGAGAAACGTTTTAAGGCAATTACCCGGGCAATACTCTCCGCCACTGTATGTGTATGGCGTATCCGCCAACTCGTTTCAGCAACGGGACCCAACAGCTAGAGACTTATGTGTTTACTGTCCAGAACATCATCTCCACAAACTCCCCTACACTTGGCGTCCCCGACTATTGCATCACGGCCAGCACTTGTACCAGTCGGCACAGCCAGCACTTTAATTGGTTCTTGACTCTACAGTACCCTGGCTGTTTCAAGGCTACAATCACCATTAACGGCTTGCAGCTGAGCAGAGTGCCTACCACATCTTATCAGCAGACGTGAGCTTGGCCAAGTGTGTGGTGCTAGAAGAGAATGTCACGTGGGACTATTAAGATGCGTCTACTATGTCACCAAAAAAAAAAAAAAAAAAAAAAAGTGTGGTAGGATTCAGCTTAGGTATGTGAGCATGGCCAGTGTGGGGTACAAGGAAGAGAATGTCACGTGGGACTGCAGCGTGCTGCGAGGCGTCAGCATGTGCCTTCTGGACTTGGGCTGGAGATTATTGTTAGGAATGGGTTTTAGCTAGGTAAGCAAGAGCAGCGAGAGAAAAGGGGTTTGACTAGCCAAGAGAGAGAGGTACAAGAAAGGGGTTGTCCTCTCTACAGTAGGAACCATGAATTTGTAGTACACCTACCTAGCCTACACACATATATATATATATATGTATGTATATATATATATATATATATGTTGACACACCCCCTAGGCAAGGTAGGCGCTACGCACAGAAGCAAGAGACCAGGGCAGCACTACTAGTCTGACCACTGGTTTGAGTAGTAAGAAGAAGTCACAACACACCACACACCACGCACCTCTAAGACCAACACACCCTAGGCCTAGTACCCCCATTCCTAGCAGCAGCGATGGCTTCTTTAGCTCGTTCGAACCCCTGGCATACGAGGCGGCGACATCGGCAGCGAGGGCAGTGGCGGCGATGACAGCGGCGCCATGCGGTGGCAGAGCCAACGGCACGTGCGGCGGAGGCGGCGGAGGCAGCGGCACCTGCGGGCGGCGGCGGAGCCCGCTGCACCCAGCGTTGTGGCACGACTCCGCGACGGCGGGGAAGGACCGCGTGAGTCAGCCGTCAGCTGCGGCGGGGAGGAGGGGGGACGCAGGGGAGGGGGCGGGTCTTCGACGTCGGAGCCAGTTCGCAAGCCGCCTTGGCTGGCGCACTGGCTGGCGTGCGGACGTGCTGCCTGGTGCTGAACCAGCGCGCTGTCCACTGCCGTCCGTGCGCTGGCACGTCTCGAGGCCGCCACGGCAGCAGGGCGAGGCCGCCGCGGCAGCGCGTCGAGGCCGCCGCGGCAGCGCGTCGAGGCCGCCGCAACAGCGCGACGAGGCCGCCGCGACAGCGCGTCGAGGCCGCCATTGCAGCGCAACGAGGTTGCCGCGGCGGCGCGATAGGGGGAGGAGAGAGAGGGCTATGCGGAAGCGTGGGGAGAAGGCCCGAGCGGAAGGACCTTCTCTGATACCATGTTAGGAAAGGGTTTTAGCTAGGTAGGCAAGAGTAGCGAGAGAAAAGGGGTTTGATTAGCCAAGAGAGAGGGGTACAAGAAGGGGATTGTCCTCTCTACAATAGGAACTAGTACTTTGTAACATACCTACCTAGCCTACACACACATATATATATAATATATATATATATATATATATATATGTTGACAATTATGTGTTGTTTTCAGCATTTATGGTTAGTGTCATCATCCCATTCTTTTTCTAGATTTTGCTTGCGTGTGCTTCTTTGCTGCTGCCCTTGAATTGGTAAAGCACAGCCTCTTTTTTTGCCCCCCTAACCATACTTAGATATATATAAAAAAAATAGTTCATGCTTGACTTGACCACACCATACCGTAATAGACATTGCATTTCACGTCGTCTTATCAACAATACTTTTGTATTAACTTCTCCAACTGGTTACGTGCATACTTCGCCTGCGATCTTGTATCGAGGATTCCCAGTTTGTTTGCAGCGGCTGTTGCCGAAATGGGTGTGTGCGGGGCGCCTGAACGGATGGCCATATGCCCACCATGCGGGCAGATTGTGCGGGGAAGAATTGTCGTTTGAAGCAGTATCTCCTCGAAAATGATGGGTACTGTGCTAGAAGTCACCTCGGGGGTTCGGGGGTGTTTTCTGAGTACGCCGCTTTCCCGCACTGTGCATGGGATCCAAATCAATGTATACTGGACAGTCATGTTTTTACGGGAACGAGATTCTGCCCAAAAAGTTAATTGTTTCATAACCTATACCCTTCTGCCCCCAAAACCACCTGGTTTGACTTCTCTGGGTTCAATCCTGCCTTGTCCTCAACCACACATGCACACATGTGAAGGCTGGCCCTGGTCCGGTTCAAATGTGGGGCGTGGTACATACAGTACACATTTCAGGTTCGGCAAGCAAGGTTCGAGACCAGTTACCCTTCTAAATCGTTCTATACCCGAACATACCAGCTGACCAACGAAGGTATGGAGGTAAGGCAATCCCGAAGCTAAGTCGCAACAAAGCCGAAACAGGAAGAGGGAATCCCGAAGCAAGGCGCTATCCTTCTGCCCATGTGCAATCCATCAACCCAACGTAGAAAGGGAATTCCTGCCTGTGTTGTGTGTTGTACAGTTCACACCCCCCACCCCAACTTCTCGCCCACTCACGCCCTGGGTGGGAGGAGTGACGTAGTGTCAGAATTTCACCTACCTCCGTCACCTCTTTCATACCCGCTAATCTCGACTCGTCCCGTCCCGTCTCGTGACGCATATGCCGCTCATAGCAATCGGCGTCGCGAATGCGTTGGCCCGGGAACATGATTTCCGTTCGCTACTGCGGCTAAATCCCCGAAAGCTTTCGCTCGTTTCGAGTGATCGAGGCTCGTATTGGCGAGAACAGATACCATTTGTGATCCTTTCTCCCTGGACACAAGCGCCGCGCCTCTACAGCAGCTGCTGCTCGACCTGCTTGTTAACACGCTGTTAGGGAGGAACGACGCCTAAATTGCTGATGTCTTTGGCAAGCCAACGCTTTTTTGGTTTTTTTCTTCCAGAGGCATTAGCTCTATCCGTGGTCTCCGCTTGTTCGTGGTAGGGAAGTGGTCGACCGTTTGTCATTAGACGAGGTGTTAGTTGGTTTTACCCCAAGGATTACGGGAGTAAAACAGGAATCCTTCTGTTTCCGTGTTGCATCTGCTGAGTCCTCCGATGTCGCGAGATGGACGGTTTCGATTAATCTCCACTCATTCCTGTAATCTCAGGGCTAATTTATCACGTTCCAGTGGTCGCAGACTAAATCGCAGATTTTCCGAAGTTCATTAGATTTGGTCCCTGAGTTAATAATTGGTGCGTAGAATTGTGCAGACTATGGCAGGAAGCGACCCGTGGCTGTAACCCTGCTGATCTTCTTACCTCCTGTCAAGCGCATATACCCGCTAGAAGCAGTGCGAGGTTCCGTTATAGTGGAAAATTTGCGGGCTTATAACGGGAAGCAGCATGGCGAAGGTAGCGGATCTTATAATGGGGATGGGAATTTCGCACGGGACTGAGTTGTTACTCGCCTACAGCCCGTTCGGCGAATTCAGCGAGCTGCTTCGCGAAACGCTGAAGAAGGTTCCTCCCAACATGCAATGGTTCTCGTGGGTATGTCCACTCGCCCTTCATTTTGTGCCTTGCTAGTCATTTTGCAAGCCGCCTGCTCTTTAGTTTTTCCCCTATCTTTGTGTCCTCCTCTCCGTTTCCCCTCCTCACTCCTCCCCTCGTCATGACCTTCGTATGATGTCAATGTCTACCTTCACACACTGTGCGGAGTCTATTTTTGAGGCGACTCAAAGATGTCAATGTCTACCTTCACACTCTGTCCCACCTCCACACACTGTCCCACCTCCACACACTGTCCCACCTCCACACACTGTCCTACCTTCACAGATAGAAGACTGTCGAGAGCCCACAAGCGAATTGTTAAGCTATTCTGTCTATTCTGTCTAGGCTTTTACCCTAAAACCAGCTCGCTGTGACTCTTGAAGTCTTGTGAAGCTGCAAACCGCCAAACCCCCCCTTCTGTAGAATGGCCACGATGTTACCCCCCTGTCCCGCATCCCCTTCTCCACTACTCCCGGGCTTTGACCAAGTAGGTTTCCTCTTCCACACCCACCGCCAAGGGTTCGTTCGTCTACTCCACGTACGAGTGCACACGTGCTTCACATGCTGAACGCTCATTGCCTCTTCCCTTCCCAATACGCAAAGCGTACAGAACGTATATTCCAACATAGTGCTCCACCTCTTCCATTTGCCATCCTCTCCAAGTCTGCTGGGGTTTGACCAAGTAGTTTTCCTCTTCCACATCCACCGCCAAGGGTTCGTCTTCTCTGTACTCCGTAGTAGCAGTACGAGTGCCTCACACACTTCTTGCTGCAATCCCCCTCCCCCACCCCACCCCATCCTCCTCCCCCCACCCATCACCCTCCCCCCACCCATCCGCCTGCCCCGCTTTCCTGCAGGGCTTTGATCAAGTGATCTTCCTCTTCCACGTCCACCAAGGGTTCGTCTACTCCAATCCAGCATACTAGTGCCTCATTTCAATCTCCCTCCCCTTTCCCCCTCTCTGATCATAGGGCTTTGACCAGGTGATCTTCCTCTTCCACGTCCACCAAGTTTTCGTCTACTCCATTCCAGCATACGAGTGATTCACACGCCTCTTGCTTCACTCCCTCCGCCCCTTTCCCCCCCCCGCCCCCTCCCCCCTTCCGCCTCCCCCATTTTCCCTGCAGGGCTTTGACCAAGTGATCTTCCTCTTCATATCCACCAAGGATTCGTCTAGTCCATATTAGCATATGAGTGCCTTACACCACCTCATGCTGCACTCCCTCCGCCCCTTTCCTCCCCCCCCATCCGCCTCCCCCATTTTTCCTGCAGGGCTTTGACCAAGTGATCTTCCTCTTCCACATGCACCTAGGGTATATATTCTCCATAGCAGCATACGAGTGCTTCACACGCAAAGAAGCTCGCAGCAAACTCACCGCCCTCCGGGACCTTTTCCTCTCCTCCTCCTCCTCCACCCCATCTCCCCCCGAAAAACCTTCCGACCTGCCCGAACCCGCCCGCGAAACCCTCGAAAAAACCATGAAATCATGGATTGTGAATTCCCGCGGGGTGGTACCGGCCCGGCTCATCCTAATCCTCCACCCGGGGGCTCCCAAGAAATTCCTGACTAAGGAAGACCAAGCGCCCGACTTCGTACAAGCGGCCGAAGGGAGCGGGACTGCCCGGCTCAAAAGCGCTCTGGAGGAAATCGATGAGAACGACGACGACTTTGTGTTCACCATCCGCAAGCCAGGGGCCGGGAGCGGTGGGGGGGATGATGACGATGGTGAGGACTTCGTTTTCAACATCCCAAAGAAGATTGTGCAGGCGGTTGCCGCCCCGATGATCTTCACCAGCCCGCATCCCCGGCAGATGCCTGCCTTCGCTGCTGGCCCCACTGCTGGTTCTGGCGGCGGCGGCGGCGGCGGCAACAGTGGGAGTAACAACCGGGTGCCATCGGGGCAACAATCAGGCAGAAAAAGTCCTGCTATGTCGGGTGCAAAGGTCTCTCCAGATGATGCAGATGGTGGGGGAGGGGGAGGGGGGAGGGGGCACCGGCCCAGAGTGGGTTGATGGCTCGAGCCAGAGCCGCTTGGTCCGTGCAAGTGGGCCGATCAGGGGGGAAGGACGGGGGGGGGACGTGGGAGGGGGAGAAGATCCGCGGGCAGGTGGGCATGCTGGCGCCCTCCGGGCTGACCTGGGAGGAGGAGATCGCGTCTCAGCTGGCGTCTGTAGGCGTGCTGGTGGGTCCAGCTAAGGCGCAGGCAGTGGCTGCTGCCGCTGCTGCTGTGAAGGAAGGGAAAGCGGGTGCGGGTGATGGTTCTGGCGGCGGCGGTGCTGGTGGTGGTGGTGGGACAGGAGGCGGGGGGGCAGGCGGAGGGGCAGCAGCAGCTGCAGGAGGAGCAGCAGGAGGAGCAGGAGCACCGGGTGCGACTGCCCCGAGAAACAGGCAGAGCCAGCCGGCGCTGGACCACGCCCGCTCCTTCTCCACTGCAGGGGCGGGCGTCGGGTTCGGCATGCAGGGCTCGAGGCTCATAGACCGCGCGTATGTGGGCATGCCCGCCCAGGCTGCAGGTCGGCTGTTCGCGCGCAACACCTCCGTGCCCAATGGGGGCAGGCCAGCTGGCGGGGCGATCGGGGCGGGGTTTGGTGGGGGGCTGGGGCGGCTGGCTAGGGGGATAAAAAAGACGTTCAACCTGCAGAGCAGCCATGACAAGCTGATCGGGTGACTAGATGAAGAGAGTGTGCTTGACATGGCCCAGAGTTTGGAGCAGCGTTCGGTGGTGTGGAGACCTGGGAAGGCTGGGACGGGGGCTGAAGAAGACGGTTGGTTCAACCTGCAGAGCAGCCATGATAAGTTGATCGGGTGACTCGATGCAGAGAGTGCACTTCACATGGCTCAGAGTTTGAAGCAGGGTTCGGTGGAGGCCTGGGAAGGCTGGTGGGAGGGTTGAAGAAGACGTTCAACCTGCAGAGCAGCCATTACAAGCAGATTGGGTGGGATGCTGAGGTGTCATAGGAGCGGACTGGGCGATCTTGCGAGAAGTCGTAGGAGAGGATTGAGTGATCTACCAAGGAGAGTTGTGAGGCAGCTCATAATCTGGAGCAGGGTTTGGTGGGGGCATAGGAAGGCTGAGGGGGGGGCTGAAGAATAATGTTCAATCTGCAGAGCAGCCATGACAAGCTGATTGGGCGAGATGTTGAGGAGTCATAAAAACGCATTGGGTGGTCTACAATGCAGAGTTGTGAGGCCGCTCAGGATTTGGAGCTGGGTCTGGTGGGGGGCTTGGGCTTTGTCGCCAGGGGGCTAAATATGAGCGTCTAATTTGCAGAGCAGCCATAACAGGCTGATTTGGCAGGAGCGGATTGGGTTGTTTACAAAGGAGAGATGTGAGGCGGCTCCTAGTTTGGAGCAGGGTTTAGTGGGGAGCAGCCATGACAAGCTGATTGGGGGATTTGGTGAGGAGTTTTTTTCTATGCAGGTAAAGCAACCAACAGGGTCTGGGTCTGGTGGTGGGCTTGGGTTGGGATGGGAGGCTGAAGAAATGTTTGATTTGCTGATCAGTTGTGTTCCGAGAAGGATGGATGCGCTACTCGTTCCTGCTACAGCAACTAGTGGGGTTTATCAGGCATCAAGGGGTCATCACTATGAGGTGTTACGCTGTCTAAGTGCGTCACAAACATGTGATTGTATCTCATAACAAATGCGGTCCACCCTGCCACCTTGTTCAGATCAAATCGACACAACTCAGTAACTAACCACTGAGTAGCGGGCTTAGAAAGGGCTTGTTAAGTAGCGAATCAGTGCGCCCAGAACCCCCCAGGCATAGAGGCCTGTGGCCCTTCCCCAAGGATATTCTCAAGGGCAACCCCAGCGGATCTCTCGACACCCCCCCTCGCTGGGATAGGCAGAGGAAATGAGCGCCTCTGCAGCGCTGGCACTGGGAATTGAACTCGAGTTACCCACGCTCAGATAATGACAACTCAATCACTAACCACCAGGGCCTCAGAAGTCAGACCAAAAAGGCCTGAATGGTATATGCAATATGTTATTATAGGCTAGTTAGGTGTATACCTTTAGAGTGTACAACCCCCTAAGGTAAAACCACTATGTACTGTACTTTCTTATCTATCTGGCTACTCTGAAATGGTATCGCGTAGGTTCTGTCCTCCCACCCTCTTCCGCCCTCGCCCTTCCCTTAGTGCCCCGCTAGTCCCTTAGCGCCCCGCTGGCCCCGCTAGCCCCTACGCGCCCTGCTGGCCCATTAGCGCCCCCCTGGCGCCGTTCGTCCCGCTGGCCCCTAAGCGCCCCGCTGGTCCGTTAGCGTCCTCTGGGCCCCGTACGCCCCGCTAGCCCCGTCGCGCCCTGCCAGCCCTGTGCGCCTCGCTCGCCTCGTGCGCCCCGTACGCCCCGTACGCCCTAGCCTCACAGGTTTCGTCGTGTCACAGGTCACTGGCCCCCGTTCGCCCTTGCTGGCCCCGTGCACCTTCCTGGCCCCGTGCGCATTGCTGGCATGTGCACATTGCTGGCCCCATTCCTGCCCAGCTGGCCCCATAGCGCCCTGCTGGTCCCTTGCGCCCCGCTGGCCCCGTTCGAGCCGGCTCTTGTTCCTGCCGTTCCCAGCGTGCTGCGCCGCCACCGTACCACCGTGCGGTCGCCGTGCCATCGCCGCGCCGTCACCGTGACGTCGCCGTGCCGCCGCCGTGAAGCCGTCGTGCCGCTGCCGTGCCGCTGCCATGCAGCCGTCGTGCCATTGCCATGCCACCGCCGTACCGCCACCGGGCTTCCGTCCTCCCGCCCCCGCCGCGCCGCCGCCGTGCCGCTGCGCCGCCGTATAGCCGTGCCGCAATGCCGCCGTGGCGCCGTGGAGCCGTGGAGTCGCGCCGCAGTGTAGCCGTGGTGCCGTGGCGCCGTGGCGCCGTGGAGCCGCGCCGTAGTCTAGCCGTGCCGACGTGCCGCCGTGTCGCCGTGCAGCGTGTCGTTGAGGTCGTGCGATGGCGGACGCTGTGCTGCGCCTGGACGCGGAGGGGCGCGCGATTGACTTCAACGCCTGGCTTGTCGACCTTCGCCAATACTTGACAGGTCAGCACCAGGATGGCCACTGCCTGGCTGTTCATGACAATGGCTTGCTTCCCCACCCCCCCGTGCCTGTTGCTCTCACTGACGCTCTCACTACTGCTGAGCGTGATGCCTTTACCACTGCTGCACTTGCTCGCGCTGTCTGGGATTCGCGCGACGCCGTAGCGCAGCTTGCCATTAGTCATGCCCTCCCCATGTCTGAGCGTCCCCACTTTACCGCTGTAGCGAACGCTCAAGCGTTCTTAGAGGCAATTGTTGATCGCTACTCCAAGCCCGCCTCCGCCTCCGCTGGCCGCCTGATCCTCCCTATGTTTTTCCCTAGCCTAGCGTCCTTCCCTACTGTCGCTAACGTAGCCACTCACCTCCATGCACTCGACGCTAGCTACCGCGCTGCTAGCACTGAGGCTCAGCTCATTGCCTTCCCGCCGCCGCTGTGCGCTACCCTTTACCTCATAGCCACTGCCCGCGACCACTTCCTTAGTCAGCACCCCGGTGACCTCACCCTTACCGCCTTTGTCGCTGCCTTGTCCGAGATAGAGACTCGCCAGCGTACTATCGCTCAATCAAGTAGTAGTGTGGCATTCCCTATATTTCAGGGTTATGCACCCTCCCAGTGCACTTACGCTAACGGTTCTGCCACTATCGCTGAGACAGCCCCAGCTGCTGAGACCGCTGCTTCGCGCAGCCGCGTCAGCGTAGGGGCCGCCGCCCCAAGGGGGGGCATGGTGGAGGTCAGGGTGGTGGGGGTGGTGGGGGTGGTGGAGGTGGAGGCGGGGACAGCGGTTCTGACGAGGGGACCGGGGCTGGTGCCTCGGAGCAGCACCAACAGCAACAGCCGCAGCAGCAGCAGTCTGTGTAGAAGTCGGAGCAGCAGCAGTAGCATTCATGGGGCCGCCTCCCGCCGGGGTGGCCTGGTGCCTCTGGTGGTGGTGGCCATGGTGGCGGCCCTCGCAGCTCGGCGTCGGGCGGCAGCTCTAGCGCTGGGGGGTGCCAATACCAGCTCCAGACCGGCCCCCTTCGTGGCCCAGTGTGTGGTCGCCCGCACCCTACCACCCGCTGCTTCTGCCGGCTCGACGGCCTCTTTCGCCGCCGCTTCGACCCGACGTCGGACCTCCCCGACTGGTTCAGTCTTGTGCGCCATGGTGTGTCTCTTTTTGAGTTAGACATGGATAAGATTTGTTTTGCTTTGCATTCGCTGTATGCTAATGCCTCTAGTGTGACTGGACCTTATTACCCTGTATTGCCTAGTTTAGGTGTGCCACTTGAGTGTAGTCTAGACTCCCCTGCTGCGTCAGGCGTAGGACCTTCTGCTTTGTTTAGCCTAGGCTCCACGCTCTCTCCCCTACTAGCTGCAGCTTCCGCTTCGCTCTCCTTCACACTTGACTTTGACGCGTCTGCCTACTTCTTCCGCGACCACACTCGTTGACACCGCATGCCGCCCCTGCTACTGTCGCGCTTGCTGACCCCTCCTCCGGTCCGGTAATTGCTCGTAGCTCCACAACCCTTCCCTGTCTGGCGGTTCCTTCGGGCTCCCTTACGGGCCTGCGCATCCCCTCTTTCTCCACGAACCTAGTTGGTCTCGACTGTCTTCAGGACCTCGGCGTCACCACTATGTTCCATGGACACGAGCGGTACACGGTCTGTACCGATGCCGCTACAGGTACCCCCCCCACCACGTTCCTGCGGGACCCTCGGTCTGGCCTATTTACCCTCGACACTGAGTCCCCTTGCTGAGGGTGCCCCCCAGGGGCCTGCGTCTACTCATGTCGCTGCGGCCTGCTCGTGTCGGTTGCTCACTCACCCGTCACTTCTGTGGCACCACCGTCTAGGTCACCCCGCATTTCCTCATCTGCGTCACATGTCCCAGCACGGTCTTGTCCTAGGTCTCCCTTCATCGCTCCCTGCCCTCCCTCCCTCACATGCGCCGCCGTGCATGCCTTGTGTCGAGGGCCGGCTGCGCCATGCTCCATACTCCTCCTCGCTTTGCCCTGCCATTGCGCCACTCCAGACCCTGCACCTGGACGTCTGGGGCCCCGACCCCGCCCCCTGGCCGCGTCGAGAGCGCTACTTTCTAGTGCTTGTCGACGACTACACGCGCTACATCACGGTGTTTCCTCTGGAGCAGAATGCCGATGTGCCTGACGTTCTTATCCCGTGGGTCGTAGCTGCGCGCGTCCACCGTAGTCTCCCCGTGCTGTATCTCCACTCCGACCGTGGTGGCAAGTTTGCCTCTGGTCGGCTGGGCCAGTTCTGTCGTGCAGAGAGCATCACCCACTCGTACACCCTGCCGGACTCTCCGTAGCAGAATGGGGTCGCTGAGTGACGCATCGGTTTGGTCATGGAGGTGGCTCATACCTCCATGATCCATGCTAGTGCACCCCATTTTCCGTGGTCGTTTGCTGTTCACTACGTTGCTCACAAGCTTAACCTATGGCCGCACTCTCAGCAGCCACAGGTTTCGCCGACTCTTCTCTGGACCAGGTTCCTTGGTGACGCGTCTGCGTTCCACGTGTGGGGCTGCCTTGCTCACGTTCGTGCCTCTGGCATAGACAAGCTTACCGTCCGCACAGTCCCCTGTGTCTTCCTTGGCTTCCCCCTTGACTCGTCCGACTGGCACTATTACCATCCGTCGTCCCATCGCTTGTTTCACTTGCAAGACGTCACCTTTGACGGGTCTATCTCCTTCTACCACCGCTTTTCCCACACACGTCTCCTGGTTTCCCTGCCTCTATTTCTGGTTCCCACTCCCCTGGTAGCCCCTGTTCCTCCCCCCCCCCTTCCTGCCCCATGTGTCGTCTCACATCTCTCCCCTCCCGTCGGTTGTCCCGCTCGAGGAGTCGTCTGACTCTGGTGGCCCCGCGGCTCAGCTCTTGTCTCCTCCTCTGCTGTCGCCGTAGCAGCCGCCGTCGCCACAGCAGCAGCTGCTGTAGTCTCCACCGCCGCAGTCGCCGCCGCAACAGCAGCCGCTACTGGGATCCACGGGTCCTCGGGGTGGCACCGGTGTCGGAAAGGGTGGCGTGGAACTTCTCGGCTGTAGACGTAGTGCAGCTGGAGGTTCTGGTGTCGACGTGGAGCCGCAGCCACAGTAGTCGCCACCGGTGTCTCTTGTCCCGCACTACCCCTTGTCTAGCCAAGGGGGTGTGTCAAACATATGTGCAATATGTTATTATAGGCTAGTTAGGTGTATGCCTTTAGAGAGTACAACTCCGTAAGTAAAACCATTATGTACTGTACTTTCTTATCTAACTCGCTACTGTGAGACTGGAATCCTGTACATATTAGGGTGTTTTCCAAGGGTCGGCCTGGTTTTTCAGGTTTTAAATTTCCGTTGCCTTGATTTTAAGGGGTTCCCATTTTGGTGGGCCTGGTTTTTATTATGTTCTTGTTTCGTGTACCCTGATCAATCAGCCTTAATGAATTTTCAGCCTGAAACAGACCCCCCCCCCCTCCCAAACCCACCATATTGAAATGGGGTCGGGCTCTAAATGCCGGAGCACGTGTGAGGGGCGTGAATGATCCTTGACCAAAATCACGCGTCGAAATGGAGTTGCGATAGAGCACGTGAGAGGAGAGATTTGTGGTCCTTGGTCGAATTCACCTATAGCAGTGAGGCTATACTAGGGCATGTGTCTTTGGCGT